GATGAATGATCACTTTTCATGGCTTCTTCAAATGAGGTGGGATCATCCTCCATTTGAAATTCTTCAGTGTTGTACACTTCATAATCAGCAGGAATAGCTGATTTTCTAACTCTTTGAGACCTTCTAGGGGCCTCCTCAATTGGCACATTTTCTGTTTGAGGCTGTTGTTGCTCCCCCTCATGTGTGGCAATAGGTTCTATAGGATCCTGAGGCACAGGTTCCTCATCATCATTCATTGTTGCCACAGGCGGGATAACAACAGTCTTGGCACCACAGTTGTCTTGTCTTTGTTGGTGCAAAGCAATGCAGTAGTGAGAAAATGGCTCATGAATGATTGGAGTGGGTGCATACACCCGCTTCTCTTCAAGGTCAATTTCTCGAGCTACCATGCTCCCCCTAATCATTTCATCCTCTAGGAAGGCAGTGTCTCGTTTCCACAAACTTTGTATGTCTCATAGAGAGGACAGAGAAACGAAAACCTTTTGACTTTTCTCGGTAGCCAATGAAATGGCAACTCACCGCTTTTGGGATCTAGCTTCCCAATGTTTGGGTTAAAACTTTAGCCTCAATGAGGGCTCCCCACACACGCAAGTGGTTAAGTGAGGTACTCTTCCCATCCACAACTCATACGGTGTTTTGGGCACCGACTTACTTGGTACTCTATTGAGAATATGAATGGCGGTTTTTAACGCCTCCATCCATAGACTCATCGGTAAAGTGGAGTAACTTATCATACTACGCCATATCCATCGAGGCACGTTTCGCCTTTTTAGCTACTCCATTCTGCTGAGGTTCGTCCCGGTGTTGAATCTTTGGCGACTATACCATTCTCCTGTAAGAACCTTGCAAAAGGTCCGGAACTTGTCCATATAGGGTATGCCGACCGTAGTACTCTCCTCCTCCACGGTCGGACTGACTATCTTAATCTTTAAATCATGCTGATTTTCAACTTCGCTTTAAATATTTTGAATTTATCCAACGCTTACATTCTTTCTTTAATTGGATAAATATAGCCAAAACGAGAGTAATCGCTCATGAATGTTATGAATGAATCATAACCATCCACACTTTTCACGGAAAAGGACCACATATATCCGTGTGAATAATCATGAGAATTCCTGCGCTTCGTTTGGCATCTTTCTTAATTTTCTTTACATACTTTCCTTTTATGCAATCTCTACATTGTTCTAACTCTGAGAGCTCTAATGAAGGAAGAATATTATTCTTAACTAGTCTTTCTATTCTCCCCCCTCGAAATATGGCCTAACAAAGTGCCATAATTTCGACAACGATCGTGAGCTCTCTTTCGTTTTCTGTTTCCATTGTTCGATGAGGATACATTTTCATTCACATCACATACGAATTCACATTTTCACGAAGTGATAACAAATAAAGCTCGTCTTGTCGGAAGGCAAGACCAACACATTATTATTAAACAATATCGACATTTGCCATTTCCAAAATGGCAATCATAACCATCATGGTCCAACTTTGATACACTAATCAGTTTCTTTGCAAAGAAGGTACATAAAGAACATCTCTAAGAAAAAGTATAAAGCCATCTGGAAGCTCTAGAGGAAGATCTCCAACGGCCTCAACATCTGCTTGTACTCCATTTGCGACTTTAATGAAACTTTCGCTTCTTTGCAAAGTTCTCATCGAATGGAATCCTCAGAATGAATTAGCAACATGAATAGTTGCACCTGAATCAATCCACCAAGTAGATTTTGAAACTTTACATACAAGGATTCATTTACTGAACGTAATAATGTTCTCACCTTTATTCTTCATTATCATCTTTAGGAAATCGGGACAGTTCTTTTTATAATGTCCCGTCTTCTTGCAAATGGAGACAACGGTCTTTAGCCACTTGAGGAATTGCTGATTCTGAGACTGTTGCATGGGACCTTTTCCGATGACTTGGAGGAAGAGTCATTATAATAGTTCTTTTTCTTATCTTTTAGGTAGTTGTGAAACCACCTTGTGAAACTTTTATTCTTTCCTCCTCCTCACACACACACATGGCTATGAGCTTTTCTAAATCCCATTTTTCAGTCAGATATGTTGTAATTAACAACAAAGGTGTCAAATTCTTTGGGCAAAGAAGCAAAAATCAAATGAATAAGAAACTCATCCTTGAGTGCCAAATCCATTGGTTTGAGCTTAGATGCCAGATTGCTCATTCTCGATATGTGCTCTCTAATGCCACTTGCCGCCACCACCAGTACCTTTTTCAGAACTAAATGCTTGATCACCGGGTTGCATATATGTCTTTGAAGAGCCAAAGTGAACTGACTCTTTATTCTATCTAGGTACTCTGTGACCGTGTCACAGCCTGAATTGAGCCCACAATAGCAGGCTCAATTGTGTTCTTTATCGATGCCAAACACTTCTTGTTGGCGGTGGACCCATTTCCTATGCTCAAGGTCATAGGACATCTTTACTGGAGCAAAATCCCGCTCTCTCTATTCACCATGACAAGATCGGGCTCTTATCAGTCTCCCTCACCGGTGCCACAGGTTCTCAGGGGCACGGTGTGTGACAACCCAGACCTCACCTGAGGATGAAGGCCAGTCTATCTTTTTCTTTCACTCATTATAGTTATCACCTTTTAGAGTGGGATCTTTTGATACAACTCATTAAGTTGTATCCTCCTGAAAACACAATTCAAATAGTGTGAGAACAGAAATAACAACAATAATTGCATGCCTTAGTTTAACGTTGGTCAAAATTAAAACATACAATTATTTTCTACACTAATTCTACATCACCGTTGGGCAGAAATAGAATTAATGTATGACAAAAACATTATAATATTGCCATTAATCAACGTTGGTCAGAATAACAACAATATTATAATCAATTTAAAACATATCCATTTTCAAAAATAAATTCTCCCGTTGGTTCGAATTTAATAATGAAAATTACATCTTTAAATACGCAGCGAAAACTTTAACATTTAATAATCTTTTTCCTATTTTCCAAAAGCAAATTTACTATTTACCATAAATTTTGTACAGAAATTATCATAAAATTCAATTCAAATTGATCAAACTGCTTTTCTCTAAAATAAGAAAAACAAAAAAGCAGATCAGATTTATTTTATTTGGCCATTTCGCCCAAATGAACCATCGCAGTGGCTTGTTGAACACAGCCACAAGCAGCACCCACGGCTCGCTTTAAGGATACAAGGCAGCTCTGCCTGCTCAGCCATGCCCAGTGCATTGTGGCGCTTCTCTCCCAGCGCCCAGCCGCAACTTTGGCTGGGCGATTTCGGCCGAGCAAGCGGAAGCTACTGAAAAGAGGCCCGAGTCCTCCGCCGTTGATCTCAGATCGACGGTGGAGCCTCACTGGGGCATCAAAAACCCCGCCGACCGCGCCTCCCTCAGCCCTAGCTTCATTTTCACGCGCACTCTCTCTCTCTCGCCTCACCACCGCTCTCCTCTTCTCTCCTCGCTCATCACCGAGCGACCACGGTGAAGCGGCGAGTCCCGGCGCCGTCGCCCGGCCCCCGCCGCCGCGTCTGCGCTCCCAATGGGTGAGCGCTGCCGCCGAGCCGAAGGCCCGCCATGCTGCGCCTCATGGCCGGATCCCGCGAGCCGTGCCCCTTACGGCCGGGCCTCTCTTTTCTTCTGCTACGCGCCAGGCGTGCTCGACGGCGAGGTGAGCCGAGCCACCCTCTTCCCCTTCTTTCCCCTTTCGGTTTCTTTGATTCGGATTTTTGAACGATTTTCCCGATTAGGGTTAGGGTTAGGGTTAGACACGACACTGTTTTTCTTTTCCCCGAATCACCTTCGGGTTTAATTCGGTTTCCAGTTTTCTTCTCTATCCCAAAACCCGATCTAGGGTTTGGATGTGCGGTTCTTTACTTTTCCCGAACCATCATCGTTTCTCAGATCCGAAGGGATCGAGTTTAGGGTTCAATCGAACCCTTTGTTGGCCGAAGCCCTTTCTTCTTTCTAGATCCACACTGGATCTCTTCATCTTTCCTTTTCTAATCGGTACCCGTTCTAGATCTACGTGCTAGTAGGCTCTGGTACCATTGTTTATATTCTGTGGATCGACTAGGGTAGATCTAGGCGGATGAACACTTGGATCCGTGAAGCACATGCACATTTAGACCTAGAACACTACACCGTGAGGGAGATAGGGTAGAGAGGTGTTGGTGATGAACCCGAGCCTTGAGATGAAGTCGTGGTTGTCTTTGGCCATCGCCGGTTCGGTGATGGAGGCAAAGACACGGGCAATGACGACGGGTGGAGTAGAGGTTGCCAAAGACGTCGATGCAGTCTGCGATAGTGCTGATTTAGGGCGAGGGTCGGGCGAGCTTCCGTCATTGGGCAGCACACCCTCTTAGATCGGTCTAGGGTTTTGTCGGTGGGGTTTGCGGCTCACGGCGAACCTCGTGCTTTGAGCCGTCGGCCCCCACCTCTTTATATAGCGCAGTGCGACGGGGGCCCACCAACCATGTAGGGTTGGGCGCCCCCGATCAGGGCACGTGACCAAGGCCCAATAGGCCGTTGGGCTTATTGGTTAGGAGATCAATCTAACAACAGTATGCTAATGACACCATTGTTTTTCTACAACACTCTGCTTTGGATATAGCCAATTTGAAGTTTCTTTTTGTTACGAGGAGCTGTCTGGAATGAGGATAAACTATGCTAAGAGTTAAGTGTTCACAGTGGGGTTGTCAGAGAGTCAAGGGCAACAGGTGGCAGATGCATTTAACTGCAAGCTGGGAGCTTTTCCCATGAAATACCTAGGACTGCCAATAAGTGACGAAAGACTAAGCAAAGGGGAGTTGAGTGATTCAGCTGAGAAAATTGAGAAGAAATTACATGATGCTGTTCTTGACCGTTCCCCAGGCTGCAAGATAGAAGCTTGGCCAAACCCATCTGGCCCCGGTGCACTATTTCACAGTAAATATTGGGCACGTCATAAACAGTGAATAGTTACCACAACACACTGAACACACCATTTCTTAGCTAAATATAGGATAATCACGGTGATTTGACATCTATAGCATGGCACCGGATACAAGGCCCCCGAATATTTAACTTAACCGTGGATGGAACTCTTTCCAAGATATATCTTTCGATGGCCTTGAGTGCTTTATGTGCTTCCACTATCATCTGCTTGCTTTTGGAAAAGCACTCACCAGTTTTCCGACCCGAGCACCTAACAATATCGTCGGCATCCTCCAGCTGACAAAATATGCTGTCCAGTGTAAGATTTTCAAGTGCTGATGCATTCTCGAGAATATGACATGTTAACTCAACCATGCTCTTTGCAGAGCAGAAGCCATTGATCTGCACCTTCTTGAGCCTGTCATGCTTGTGTTCAGGAATCTGCCTCAGATATGAGGCGACATCCCCAGAAACTGAATCATGATGCATGTCAAGCTGATCCACCTGCATAGCATCAATACTTAGTTAATGTCACTTAAATAATGGCTCCACAATAGACATATCCTCGTAACATGATCAGTAACTCACACTCAAGACGAAAGTCTCCAAGACAGGAGAAGCATCCAGAAACGAAACCAAGGACAAATAATCATAAGCTCGGAAAGCAGTCTCATCATCGTCATCATCAGCAAGACCAATATCCAAGTACTTGAGGTGGAGGAATTTGTTTGCTACCGTTGGTGTGTTAACCCTCTGCAGAAAGATATCTCAAATTAATTATATTGTGGAGCATGACTACAGTTAGATGTCATAACACTACTATCTAATAATGTGAAGTTTAAGAGTATACCTCACTACCAGAATATAAGGTAAGAGTTTCAAGATGTGGCACAATTGAAGGAAGCTTGGTAATAGCATAACTGACACAGTTGACCTCCCGTGAAAAGCCCAGATTTAGGTTCTTAACTCGTGATGATTCTCCAAGTAAGAGTTGTACTGGGTCAATGTACAACTCAACAGTGGAGAGGTTAGGAGCTCTGCTCTCAATCACTTGCAGCTTGTCACATGAAGACACAGTCAGCGAGCTGAGCCGATCTAGCCAGAATGGTATCTTCAGGCAGATTATCTCCATGCACGAGCGGAGTTCCAACTGCTCCAAACCAAAAGACCTAGAAATAAGACACTCTAATTCATCCCCCGTGACACGCACATGATCCAGATGCAGCTTTGTCAGACTCCTCAAGCAATCAAATCCAACCGGGGGGCGGAAGGCACAATCGTTGATGTAAAGATATCGAATGGAGTTTCCACGTCCATCAAGTAAAAGTGAGCAAGGGAAGTTGTACTCTGCCTTATGTTTTGTAGGTGGGAAAAGGATGACTTCTTCAATCCCTGGTGTGATAGAATTCTGAAGCCAACTATTAAAATGACAAGTGTCCACATTAAGATGGTGACCAATTACAATCTTGAGTGACTTCACGCTGACGCCTGAGTGATTTTTCAGAATGTGATCGACTCTGCTAGTGAATTTCTTTGTTCTATCACTCTTTCGATAAGCATTTTGTTTCAAGCCTAGTGTTTCCTCAGTGAAGGTGAGATTGGGGCGGCATCTCCAAGAACATAAAAATTTACGAGATACACAGGCAGAACGGGCAGAATCACGCAGTGGCATTAGGGAGTGTATATGGCACCAGATATCCTGCACAAGCTTGGAAAGAATTGTTGAACATTGAGGTTGTTGTACTTCTAAAAAATTAATGGTACATCACAGACTCGTTCTATTCCAGGTGAACCCTTCATGTTTGTACAAAATAATTGAGGTAAACAACTTCCATTCGTGCAGAGAACCTTTTTTTACAGCCAGGGTGGTAATTAGTGGATTTCATAAAAAGACATATATTTGTAATTATTGTGATCATCCATTATCACTAATTAGTCAACCATATTTTGATTCCAAATCCATTTCCTGTAATATTTTCTTGTAAGGTTGTTATAGTGTTATAATATGCTGCCCATCATTTCAATTTTCACACATTGTCATGTAGGCATTATGGACAGCAAATAGGGAGATACATTGGTCTTAGTCAAAGATATCGGCATATGGCACAGTATAAGATTTTAAAAAAAACAAGCCACCACTAGGTTGTAGCCTAGGCAGTTTTTACTTACTATATGGCTGCAATACCTTGAGGATGAATGGATGATTGCAATCTTGTATGGCCACTAATAATCAGGAGAAAAACAAAGTGGAAATGACAATGTGTATGTTTATAGTAAATGCTCTAACTGGGGCAACTGGCTCAAGAAGAATAAATAAGTCCTTTGGAAATAAAAAAAGGTGTAAAGTTTATTAGTTCAACTTGAAATTCTCAGTGCAGATTTTCGTCAAAAGGTGGAAGGCTCACAGTTTTCATAGGGAAGTGATCTATCCAGCAATTCAGAATGCGGAAAGGGAACCATAAACCAGAGCCCTGTTACTCCTTGAACTTCTTCTTAGGTAATACCATGTAACAAGGACTGTCAAATTGCTGACGAGCTAGCTTTCAAAATCTTTTTTTTTTTTTAAAAATCTGCTTTCAGGTTACCAAACGATGACATTTGGCTATATTGTTTCATCTTTTCTACAGAGAGATCAAGTTTTACAAGGCTGTGTGTTTTAAATAAGCTTTAACATAGTGGTTGTCATATCACTAAACCCATATCGGTAGAAAATGCTAAGCTTAGTTTTCACGTAACAACAAAGAAAATACTAGAAAATCTGTTCACAGTTTTTTTTATGTAGTTAGCACAGCCCCGTCGTTTAGAGGAACCATAGTAAGGTTTTACTTGTAATGTAAGATTTCCATTATGAACATGTTATGCCATACCTCAGGAAGGTTTGGCCCTGAATATGTGGATATTTCACCACCCTGAGAATGACCACTTTCTTGGCAGCGTGAGTTCTTCTGTGGCACTATAGTAATAGATAGATCCATCAGCAACACATCATGCATGGTCCTTAATGATACAGATATTGACTTCAGGAAACAACCAACTCAAGCATATAAATGTGTGCAAAGCAACCCAAAATATTTCTGTTATCAACTGTTGCAAAACAGTAACTTTATGTAATAATAAAACAACTTGTTTTGATTCAAGAAAAAGCTACAATTGATCACAAATATTTCCAGCAAACAAATGTGACCCCCACCCTCCCTTTCCCAACATCATCAAGTGGGGTCAATATCCTTTCCCAACCACCTCTGTTCTCCTCCCTTCAGCGCTTATCTTGGAATCAATATTGGACAAACAAGTCATTGGCATTCCAGCTACCTTTTGGATAGTAGGCTGCTAGCACATGGCACCTCAGCCGCTTCTCAAATCATGTCATGTTCACTGCAGTGTTTGAGTGGGTACAGACGGACCTTCTCAAACCATTATACACCATTATCAATAATTTATCAGTAAATCCTTTTTGTGTCTCAAAATCTCTGATAAATGTTATTATGTCTCAAAATGTCTGATGAATGTTTTTATGTCTCAAAATCTCTGATAAATGTTTTTAGTAAGCAAATCAACATTTGAACAAAACATAGGAAAACTACTTATAGATCAATCTAAATGTGTCAGTTTGCTCCCACCTTGAAAAGTTTCCTGGAAAATATAATAACTATACATAAATGGACCATCAGACACCATAAAAAAGCTATTTTTTTCTGTTTAGAAACAATATACGCAGCACCACAGGCTCGTTCCACAGGGCACTAGAGTAACAATATGCATAGCAGGCAATAGATTCCAAAATTCAGGCCATGAACATAAGGTAGCTGAGATGAATAACTAAGAAGGGTCAAGGCCTCGAGGGGACTAAGAGTGGCTTACTGCGTGCTTGGATTCGGCGGCGACGCCTCCGCTCCTCCTTGACCAAGAGGCGGTTTAGCGATAGCATCCCCACGAACCTGGTATCGAGGTCACAACTCACAAAGGTGGTCGGCCGACGTCTGCTCTCCCAACTGTCTCTGCGTGGCGCGAGTGCTTGTGTGCATGTGTCCTTTAATCTATCTGTCCAGCCCTCTGTCTCTAGATCTCCCTATATTGGATTCGAAGCGGAAACAACTGAAGAGGGCGCCAGGGGAAGAAATCGAGTTGGCGCCGCCGACACGGGGAGTCGGGAGCAAGCCGAGCTCCCAGGTCCCTTAACCTGGAACGGCAGGTACGATAGGAAAGCAGATCAATGTAATCTGGAACGGCCCACAGGCCGTTGTGTGGGTTGGCTGACCTGCCTTGGCAAGAACAGAATTTGGTGGGTTGGCTGACCTGCCTTCTTTGTTTTATGGGCTTTTATGTATGGCAAAGGCTTCCTGCAGGCCGGGCATGTGCTTGACGCCCAGCACGCACGCGGGCCTGGCTCGGCCGTGAGCACTTGACCTACGGCTCTCTCCTCCGACAAGTTGAGGGCATTCGGCGACCCAGAGCCTCCTCTAACAAGTTGAGAGGGGTCCGGCGACGTCGATCTAAGGCCTCGTTTGGCAGGGTTTCACTTCACTAGTGAAGCTATTTTTGTTGGCTTCAGCTCCACAAACAGTTCCACAAGTGGAGCTGAAGCGGTTTTGGTAAACCGTTTGGCAAAATAGCTTTCCTGTGAGAGCATAGTTTTAGGGGCCTGGAGGATGAGTCGGGAGAAGCCACTTTTTTTGCTCCATCCCACCCCAAATCACTGTGAGAGCATGTTTTTAGGGGCTTCATAAGTGAAGCTATTTTACTTTACCCCGTTTGGTAGAAAACGGCTCCAAACGGCTCCTGAAGCCGGTAGAGAAGCCCTACCAAACGGGGCCTAAGTTAGCCAAGAGATTAGCCAAAAAATACTGATTTAGCTACTTTCTAAAATAGATTGGATAAAAAATTTACTACAGTACTCCAACAGACTCTGTAAAACCAAGAGGTGAGCATCTTCAAGAGACTCTCTATATCATTTCTAAATGCTAGTAATAGAGATTTTGGTGAAAAACTACCCTCAATAGCTTTTCTAAATGGTCATCCAAATATAGTCATCTTCTATTCTGGATTTTTCGCTAGCCAAAAATAAAAGACGAGAATATCTCTCTAGAGTGTGCATGAGATATAGAAAAACCGTTGGAGAGTGAAAAGATATAGAAAATGATTTTTATGCAAATAGCTCTCCAAATGATGATTTAGAGAGTGGGATTTAGAAAGGCTCTTGGAGATGCTCTGAGGTAGGCTATCTAAAAGTAGGGAGCGAATGAGATGGGATGGAGAGCTAATAAATTTGGAGAGTCATTTATAGAGTCTGCTAGAGACATTTTTCCTTTAATAATAACCAAATTTATCTTTAAAAAACAATTTGGCTAATCTCTTGAATATGCTCTCAGCCTTCTAGCTAATAAATAGCAGGTTTGTTAGGAGGTCTGTTTGGATGCACTATTACTAATTTTAGGGTTTTTGTAATGCATGAATTTCGCAGAATTTACATAGGAATTTTGTAGGAGTCAATTCAATTTTATAGGAAAAACATAGGAACAGGTGGAAAAATCTTGTATTCTAAATAGACCCTTAGCTGCTAATTTTAGTGCTACAACCTCTGAGATTGCACGGTAAACCAGAGGAAGTTTAACATGTGCTATGCCACCCAGTGTAGCTGCTGCAATTCTACCTTGGCCGATGCCATTGACCCGATGTCACGCTGTTACCAAATACCGGCAGAACAACAGCTTGGGCTACCAGCCGTGCTTTTGAAGTGCATCGCATGGCGTTTCAGTTCTAACGACTCCACAACACAGAACTCCATAAGTATAGCTGCGGAGTGCCGATGTTGCATTTCTCCCGATTCTAGCAAGACTTAGTACTCAATATAAGCAAATTTTGGGTCATGAAGTTCTCTTTTTATTAATTCATAAAGCTTATGTAGACTATAAGGTTGTATTTGGCAGCAAAAAAGTTTCAGATTCTCAATTGAATCACTAGAATCGTCACAAAGAGGAAAACATTTAAGGAAAAAAATCATTTGAAACCGATTCTCGTTTTTTAGTAGTCTAGAGAAACACCCAAAAAAAATCTAGTTTCCTCCTAATTCTATTTCTAGTTTTAAGAATCTAGTGAGCTAGCCAAATGGTTCATGAAGTGATTATGAAGGAGTGTTTGGCACACGGAAACATTCCGGATTCTTGATTTGAAATTTGAAACCAATGGTCGATGCCAAACAGCTAAACCACATAAACGTTTCCACTAGAATCGGAATTGGTTTGGAACGATTCTCATTTTTGGACTGGATTATTGAATCGACAAAAGACTGGTTTCACATAAGAACACCTCTGTTTCTTTGCCTCGCTATAGTTATATACAATCCTTTTTCACGCAATAAATTAAAATGAGTTTTATTTAAGTTCTTCTTCTTTTAAGTATATTTTTATTTATATGATTTTTTAAGAAAATATATATCTTTCAGTGAATCAGAATCTTGCCTACTAGCTAAAACTATCTCATAAAGTGATTCTAATTCACCATATAAAATGTTTTCTAAGATAATCTGAATTCGAAACGTTTCTAAAAAAAATCTAGGTCCCTACCAAATGCACCATGAATCACCAAAGAAACATTTCTAAATGAAATCTAGATCTGAAATATTTCTGAATAGAATCAGGATACGAAACGTTTTTAAGGACACCCTCAACAATATGAGCTAATTACTAGCTTTAAGATAACTTCTTCAATAATATTAACTTTTAGCAAACAACTCGTAACATAAATAGTTCCACATGAGATCCTCATATAAAATCTATTATGAATAGTCCAACTTAACATTCTCATATAAAATCATAAAATATATGCATGAGACTAGTTATTCATCGAGAGCTAGGTTTTCTTTCTCTTATATTAAAATATAAAATAATACTATGCTTTAAGAAACAATATGCTTTGAGTTAGCTCATAAGTAACCATTGAAGAGCTGTCCTTACAAGAATATGGAATCCACCAAACGGCCCTAGTACTCGAACAGCTGTTGCATGCATCTGTCATTCATGAATCAATCATGGGCAGAATAAACGCGCACTCTTGCATGTAGTGCATCGTTACGCACACACCAAAAAAAAAAAAAACGCACAGCGTATTGTGATAATGAGTTTACAGTAGTACTGATAAACATAGCACTCGAGTGTATTATCACAGGACCAGACAATGAGCAATTACGACAACACGTGCAACATTATTACATATCTAATCACAATATATCCAAAGGTTGGATGCTTAAATATTGGATAAGATCACAACAGCTAGACATCTATAACGTGGCATCGGTTACAAGGCTCCCCAACATTCAACTTAACCGTAGAAGGAACTCTACCTAGGATGTAACTTCTGATAACGCTGAGTGATTTGCGCGCTTCCAAAATCTTATCCGTACGTACGGGGCTGCATTCACCAGTGCTTTGAACAGAACACCGACTAATATTACTATCTGCCACCTCGTTAAATATGGTGTCCACGGTAAGACTTTCAAGTGACGTTGCATTCTCTAGAATATGGCATATGTCAACTCAACCATGCTCTTTGCAGAGCAGAAGCCATTGATGTGCACCTTCCTGAGCCTGTGATGCTTGAGACCATGGATCTGCCTCATAGGCGAGACATACCCATAAACCGAAGCATGCTCCATTTCCTCCACATGGTTAACCTACATATGAATCATAATAATGTCACTTAAATTATACAGATCCTCAACAGATACTAGATAGCTTGGCAACATGAATAACTTACACTCAAGATAAAAGTCTCCAGAGCAGGAGATGCATCCAGAAAGGAAACCAACGACAAATAACCATAGGCTGGAGAAAAGGCGAAATAATCAACTTCAAGGTAAATCTTCAAGCACTTGAGGTGGAGGAATCTGTCAACTGCTATTGGTGTATCAACCGTCTGCACAGAGATATCTCAATTAATATTATATATTTTCTTGAGCATGACTATGGTTATATCATGTTCCATAGCACTAACACAC